GGCTACTGAGCAAGTTCAAAGCACGCGTGTGTGCTTTGCGTGTTATTTCTGTGGGTTCCCGAGAAGGCAGGAGCCTGGTGGAGAATGCGTGTGCCGTGGGGCCGAGGATGTACGTACTGCCTGTGCGTTGTCAATGAAATATGCATGACGGCGAGGCCAGGGGCCGAGACGGGCCGCAGGGGAGGAGTAGTGCAGGGGCAGGGGATGAGGGTGTGGCTGCAGCAAATCCCACGGGGGTGGGGCTTAAACGGAAATTCTCTCTCTCGTCCCGGGGGCTGGGAGTCCAAGGTCAAGGTGTGCATGGGGCTGGTTCCTCCTGAGGCCTCTCTCTGTGGCGTGCAGACGCCGAGGTCTCCGTGTCCTTGCGTGGTCGTGCCCCTGTGCGTGTCTCCTCCTCTTCTAGGACCCCAGTCCACGTGATCTCACTTTACCTTAACCCCCTTCTCCAAATACATCACGTTCCGAGGACCTGGGGCTTGAACCTGTGGATCTGGGGAACACAACTCAGCCCCTCACGGAGGTGGGCCAGGTGAGACGCGGGGACGGCAAAACGCGATGGGACTGGCGGGTCCAGGGTGCCCGAGGAGTCCAGGTCTCAGCGACAGTCACCGGTTAGAAACCCCCCAGAACTACCCTTATTCTTGAAAAGGTACATTTGGGAAATCTGGAGCCGTGTGTAAGGCGGGGACCAGAACTGCAAGAAGGTTTATGAGCAAGACATACTTGTTAATTTGGTTTGGTTTGTTTTGGCTTTTGTTTGGTTTTTTAAAACAATGACCAAAATGGCTGAGAACTCTGACAGTTCTGAGAAATGCTGTCAATTTTACTTTAAAATGATACTCGGGTGTTTCTGTGCATTATTGTTTTCAATAAAACTTCCTAAGTGTCTTAGAATGAACAACAGCACAACCCCAGTGAAATGCATCAGTAGATGCTTCCGTGGAAAATCTCCAAGATGATTCGGTGAGAACAATGAGGCTTCAGTACAATCTGCAGCTACTGTGCAAACCGCACCCCCCCCCCCGAATCCAGCGTACTTCTGTGTGTCCGTACGTTAGGTGTGCACGTCCATCCACGGACGGAAGGGGCTGGGATGGGCTGAATGGCGGTGTTTCATTACGTTGAAAATCTGCTCAACAAGACGAGTGGCGGCTGCACTCGGAACCATGCTCCATCACCGGCCCCTGTGCTGTGTGATTTGGGGCAAGGCCCTGCCCCTCTCTGGTCTGGAGCAGGAAGGGAAGCAGTTTGGCCAAGCCATGTGTCCTCACTGTGAGTGCATGCATGTACACAGCACGCGCACACACGTGCACACAGCCGTGTACGTGCAAAGGCACACACACAGAGGCGTGCACGGACACGCAGTCCCATATGTCCACACGCGTGGACCTTGCTTGGCTCTGGCGTCCTGGTGACATTTAACCGTGAGGGAAATGGGCCAAGTTGGGCCCAGGAGCTGGGGTCTTGCAGAACCTGGTCGGGAGGGCTGGGCATGTGACCTGAGGCAGGTCCCTGCCCTTTTTGGACTCAGCGCCACTACGGGACCGGGAGGAACTCACAGGCGGGAGCGAGCTTTGTGAGTCGGGAAGTTTGCAGGCTTCGCAGCCTCGGGTCAAATGCAGATTCTGATTGGGTTGGTCCAGGCAGGCCCAGAGAACCTGCATCTCTAACGGGCTCCCAGGGCTGCTGCTGTGGATCCTCATGCACACGGTTGCAGAGCCAGGCTGGGTGCGGGTGGGGGTGGGGGTCCCACGGAGGCCCCAGCAGGCGGCGCTGTCCTCCCTGGAGCCTCCGGGAAGCTGGAAGGAGCCCCATCGCCCTCAAATCCTGTTACATCCTGGCAATTAGAGTTTATCACTGTGGCACTAATCCCTTAAAATTAGTCATTAGCGGCTTAAGAACCATTTAGCGTCGGGTGCCCACTAATGAGTTGGCAGAAGTAGGGATCTGCCAGGAAGAACCAGAACTTTCGTGTGCTGTCTGCGCCTCCCTGGCTCCCCGGGCGGGCGGCCCCAAGGGGCCTGGACCAACTCCAGCAGCAGGTGCCTGAGTCAGCCCGGGGCTGGGGGTGCTGGTGGGAACCGTGTTGCCTGTCCCACCTGGGAGGGCGGGCCTCCCCTGCACCTGCATGCTTCTTCTGGAGAGGAAAACCTCGCCCTGAAACACAGGGACCATCCACCGCCGGCTGGCCCTGTGTCGGCGCTGTGTGGGTGGGCCGGGCCCCGGTGGGCTCTCCAGCTGGAAGGGGCCTTGGAGACCCTCTCTCTGTGGAGGGAGGAAGTTGGGGGCCGTGGCAGGGACGAGGCCCACGTCTGGTCGTCTGGACCCGAGGGAGGGCCTTGGCTGGATTTTAGCTGCCTGGCCCCCACCCCGCCCTCCTACAGAAGCTGGGACGGCGGGCGGGCGGCCCAGGCTCCGCCGATCCGAGAGCTAGCCGGCACCCTAACTGGAGAGGTGACAAAAGCCTCGGGGACGGGTCAGGAATCCCAGACAGAGATGGTATTGGAGTCCTGCAGGTGGGGGCCTCATGGCGTGTCAGGCAGTGGGTAGGTGGTGGCCACGGGGCCATAGGTCCACCAGTGGGAGGAGGAACTGTGGCACGAGGCAGCCCAATTCCTCAGCCCTGACCCAAATCCTTCCAGAACATTCCTCTCTTGCCCAGGTTGGCATTGTAACCAACAGTACCCTTGGGGGGCACCCCGCCGGGACCCCGGGTCCTGGTGCTCACTGCTCCCTCCGTCGCCCACTGGGCAGAGGTGAAGAGCTTCTGTCGTGGCCCACCAGCCAGGACTCCCCTGGCCTTCCGGCCTGTCCCTCGAGGTCCCACCTGCTGCTGGGGCCCAGCTGGACCCCACTTCCTAAGCCGTCTCGGCAAGAACCAGCCCCCTCCCACCGCCCTGGACCGTGGCTGTCTGCAGGCTGCGATGGCGCCCGTGGGTACAGACCTGCACGCGCACGAGGGCCCCAACCCCCACCCCAGCCCCGCCCCCCTGAAGGCTCTGATGGTGCAGGACAAGAGATCCGGGACTTGGCTCAGGCCGATGAGTCCCCAGCGCCTAGAACAGAGCCTGACACACAACGTCTGCTCACGATGGTCTGAGGGGATGAGCCCACTCTGACGCCTGCACCCCCAGGATCTTCCCTGCGAGGAGCTCCTCTGGGGGCTCCCCTGGCCCCAACATGGGGAGTGGGGTTTTGAGTGCCGTCTGTGAGACGGGACGCGAGCATGCTGGGGGCTCGCAGCACCTGGTGCTGGGACCCCTGAGCTCACCTCAGGCTGTGGAGGGCAGAAAGCCCCCCGCCCCGCGCGCTGGGCCAGAGTCCCTGTGCCGACTGGCTCACGGCCCTGGAAGCCACTTGACCGCACCAGGCCTGTTTTCTCATCTGCGGAGTAGAAACAGCAAAGGTCCCCCCGACCCCGGCCGTACTGAGATCAAAGGAGCCAGGGGACTCGGGGTCTTAGCAGGAGAGCCTGGTGGCCCTGCGGCTGACCTTGGTGGTGACCCTGGGGCCTGGCCAGGCCGTGTTTCTGTCTGAGGCACAAGTCCACGGTCCAAGCTCCAGAGCTGAACGGGCCCAGCCTCATTGAGCTTTGCTGGGCATGGGGGTTCGGGGATGTGGGGGTTGGGGGTCAGGGTGTGGGGGGTGTAGCTGGAGCCCCCCCAGGGTGTGTGCCTGGAGGTGACATGCAGGGCACGCTCTCCCTGGGCTCTAGGGAGCAGGTGGACCTAGTCTGGCCTCACCCCCCACCGCCAGTAGCCTCGGGACCCACTGTTGGCAGAGCCGGCTCGCTGAGCTGCTCCCCCCACCTCTGCCGGGCTCAGATAGCAGGCTCACTGCACGACGTGATCTCCGCGCCCCTGGTGAGGCTGCCCGGCCATGGGCCGGCACCACCGATGCAGACGCATGGGGCGGCTGACGTCAGGACTCATTTTCCCCATGACTGGTGACAGGCCTGGCGTGCGGAGCTGTGCATGTCAATGAGGTGGGGCTCCGGCCTCCCACACCAGGGAATCCGTCTTCTGTCCCCCCAACCTCCCGTGCTGGGGGAGGAGGGGCAGACCACCACCCCAGCCCCCCCTGAGCTCATAGGCCCCGAGCTATAAGCACAGAGGCTGAAGTCCCTCCTGCACGTGCAATGTGGGCCCCTTCCCATGCAGGCAGCCCCCGTCCCTGTGCCCCCAGCCTGGCCTGCAGGAACCTCAGCCCTGGGCGCCCGGGTGTGGGCACGCTGCTCGTCCCGAGGGCACCAAACCAAGGAAGGTGGGACTGTGGAACCGCTGGCCTCTCCCATGGGGCCTGGGGTTTCGGGAGACCCCCACCCCCATGACAGGCCCAGCCAGTCCTCGCCACCAGCACTTATGTAGGGGTGCTCGGAGCCGCCTCCCTGGCCAGCATCCGAGGCCGCAGACCGGTCCATTTGGCAGGTGGGTGACCTGAGTCTGGAGGTGGGGAGGGGCCTTCGCCTCTCTGCTCCACCTGAGCCCCTCCTCCCTTTCCTCTGCTGGTGATGGTGGCCCCTGGGCCACCACCCACTGTCCCCTGGTGTCCAGGGGCTGCCCTGGGGCCAAACGGAGGGTCGGCAGAGTGAGCCTGTCAGCTCAGACACACACAGCAAGCCGAGCAGGGTGGCCAAGGAGCAAAATTTATTTCAGGGGGAGCAGGGACGTCGGCTGGCAGCCCCCCGACACGGCTGGGTTTGAGCGGTGCGTGGGTGGGGGCCCACGCTGGGGTGGGGACCAGAAGTGGGCTCGGATGGCTCGGCCCCCAGGCCTCGGGCCAGAGCAGCAGCACTGCACCTCCTGGGGAAGGAGGGGGGCGGGGCCCCTGCACCACAGAGCGGGTGGACCCCGGGCAGCTCGGTCCCCGCTGGCTCCGGGCGCGCTCACAGGGGTCCCGGGCAAGGGGGGCGGCGTGCGGCCCAGGCCGGGCTGGATGCGTGGGGGCGGCTGCGCATGTGCACCGTGGAGCTGAGGTGCGGCAGCCGCTGGGGCCCACGGCTGCAGGCTAGGCCACAGTCTGGCGGCTGAAGAGGTCGAGGGTGAGGGCGCTGAGGAAGGCCGGGATGCTGTCCTGGCGCAGCAGGTGCAGCTCGATGAGCTCCCGCACCGAGTGTGAGAACGCCGTCTCCAGCAGCTGCATCTTGGCACCCGAGGGTCCCGTGGCCTGCGAGGTGGGCAGGAGACAGGGAGGACAGCGGTCAGCGTGGTGGTGGCCTGGGGGTGCCCCATCCCCTCCCCCCAGGGGGAGCCGCGGAGACCCTGTCCCACCAGCGCTGGGCCAAGTTGCCCCTGGAGGGTCGGTGCGGGTGGGAGCCAGACAGGCGCGGCACTGCCCCCATGCCCAGCGAGGCCGGGCGTCTCCCCTTCCCAGCGGGCGGGGGTCTCACCCACGTTTCTGGAATCTAAAATACAGCTCCTCCTGGTTGGCCTGTCCAGCCTTCCCCATCCTCAGACCCCAGCCGCCACGAGGATGGAGGCCTGCACACTCCCCAACAGCGCTGGAAGGCTGCGAGGCGCTCTGGGGTGGGGGGTCCGACATCGCCCCCCTGGAGGTGGCTGCCATCCAGGCGGGGCACGGGGCTGCTACTCGAGTTCACATCCCATTTCTTCCCCGTCACACCCCGTTGGCCATGGAAAGGAGGGGGTTCCCACTGACAGCTGGGAAGCTAACCCCGCTCAGTAGGCCTTGCTGAAAATGCCCCTCTGGGCCTCAGTTTCTCTGTCTGTGCAGTGAGGGAGCAGGAATCTGGAGTTCTGCTGGCCTGCAGGAAATGGCTGTGGGGTGCCAGGGGGCTGGGCAGTCCCAGAGAGCACAAAGGGGGGGTGTGGTCCCGGCTTCAGGGCCTGGGGAGGCCATGGAGGAAGACGAGTCTACCCCACGGTGACGGAGACGAACCTCCAAATGCCTCAGCTCCAAGCACTGTGTGGGACCCAGGGCAGGGCTCCCCAAAACCAGCTGGCTGTCCCCTCATGTGCAAGTGGGGAGACCAAGGTCCTGAGAGCTGGGGCTTGCCCTGGGTCGCAAGGCAGGTCTGGGCAGAGCTGGGCCTGGGCCACAGGGCCAGGTGCTCCTGGGGAGGGGGTGGAGGACAGCCAGGGGTTCTGAGCTGGGGGCGCAGACGAGGCCCGAGGGTGCCTGAGCACTTAGGCATGGGGCTCACAGTGCCCGGGAGACTCCCAGAAGCAGGGGGAGGCTGCCTGAGCCCGGACTGCACCCTGCCCGCCCTGACGTGGGCCTCACCTGCCAGGGGGCTGAGCCAGGTGAGTAGGAACGCCTGGGGCCCATGCTGGGCCCCTGGGAACGTCCCCAGCAGGGGTGGGGGAGCATTCAGGGCTCTTGCCTGCCGGGTGAGCTGGGGGCATGGGCCAGGGGAGACGGGGGTGTTTGCGACCCTTGAACGCCATTCAGCGAGGTGGGTGGCACTGGCGGGGTGGCTTAAGGAGCTGAGTGGGGTTGCTGAGGGTCAGTACCCCCCAAAAAACAACTTCCCTCCCACTCTGCACATGCAACCTGGTCAGCCCAGGGGCGGGCTGGGGACCACGCTGCCCCCCAGTCTGGAGAGTCCCCACTCCTGATGACGGAGGACCCCCCTTCCTGGACAACTCTCACCAGGAAAGGCTTCTCCGCAGGGACCCAACCCGCCCGCTTCCTGGTGCTGCCTCCGGGGGCACCTGCTGTACAAAGACTCTCGGAGGGCGCACAGAGACCTGACAACCGCCGGCTCCTGTCCGGGGCTGGCCCGGGGCCCGCGCGGCTGTCCGTGTGGCTGTGGTAGGCGGTGGCTCGCTGCTCCCGCCCGCAGGACACTCGCTCTCAGCCCGCGCGGCCCACGGGGTCCGCGTCCAAGGCCTCTGCGCGACGAACGCCCCAATTACAACGCAGGCAAATGATCTGAACGGGTGTTTGTCCAGAGAACGCGCGCAGGTGTCCGACGAGCACGGGAAACCCCTCGCGGCATCACCAGCGTGCAGGGAAGGGCAAGTCGAAACCGCAGCCACGAGGGTGACCACGGTCCACGAGGACGGCCATGGTCCACGGCGGGCAGCTGTGCTGGCGAGGACGCGGAGCTGCAGGGCCTGTGCACGGCTGCTGGGATGGAAGTGGCTGCCCCTGCCCCCACCAGGCAGAACGTTCTGACGGCTCCTCGAGGTTACACACACGACCTGGCAGGTGCGGCCCTGGGTGCACAGTGAGGACTGGTGCCTCGGTCCACACAGACGCCCGGCCATGAGCACTCCCATTTCTAAGAGCCAAGTGAGAACACTGTCAGCGGAGGAGAGGTGATGAAATGTAGGGTGCCTCCATCGGGATAGGACTCGGCCACCAAAAGAATGAGGCTCTGACCTCCATTGCCACAGATGTGCCTCGAACACGTGCTAAGCACAGACCACTGCGCTCGCATGTGGTCACTGATCCAGAGCAAGCAGAATGGCAAGGGCGCGGGGTGGAGGGTGGGTCAGTGGCTGCGCTGGGGGTCGGACCTGGCGTAGCTGCCGTGGGGGTGCGGGTCCCCTGCATGGCGCGGAGAAGCCCCAGCATTAGCTTGGGACGCAGCAGATACACGGATGCCACCCTCCTCCTGCAGCTGCAGCGGGCTGCCCGCTCACTCCTGCACACTGCGGGCCTCAGGCCCGGCCCAGCCTGGCAGGTGTGGACCCCCGTGTTCCAGGCCTGGAGCTGCCCCCGAGGGGCAGGCGGGCGCCCTCTGCGACCCCAGAGCCGGAGCCGGCTCTGCCTGGTGTCCCCTCCGACGGCGCGCCCCGCAAGCCCCAAGCAGCTGTTAGAGCTCGCGGTGCTGGGGCTGCCCGGCTCCCTGCCTGGTTCGCAGCCCAGACGCTCCCCTGCCGACTCCCTACGGCGCCCACCCCTCCCTGAGCAGCCGACCCTGTTCCCTCGTCCGCTCCTACATTTAGCCTTGTCATAGTTCAACACAAACCATTTTTAAACAAAAGTAAGAGAAACCACTCTGACCTTTTACCAAGAAAATCCTTTCATTTCTGCCTTCTGCTCAATTCTGAATTTCTTCCCCTAAATGTCAGAGGGGCTGATTCTCTGCAGCTGTCGGGGGGAGAAGCCAACGCAGGGCAGGGGGGCGGTGAGGGAGGCCACGTGCGGTCCCGGCTCGGCAGCTGAGGGACAGCCATCCCCTAAATCGGGGACCCCTGCCCACTGCACTGGGGCCCTGGCCAGGACCCCTGCCCACCTGGGATGGGAGGGAGTCTTCCGGCAGCTCGGGTATAAGAACGGGGTTCTCTGCGTGCCTCCCCAGATCCCCGTGGGCTGTGGGGCCCTGACTGTGCTTTGTTTACATGCATCACACGTCCCTCGCGGCTCCAGCCCCGAAGCCCTGTCTCGAGGAACAGCACAACTGAAGACGAGCCAGTGTGAGGTCCATCCCGGATGCCTCGGTCCACAGGCCCGGCATTTGGGAGACACCGGTGCTGTGCCGGGCCCCGTGGGGCTCCAGGACACCACGGACACGGCGACACCGGGCTGGGGGCGAGCTGGAAGGAGGCGTGACCAGGGCCACGTTCTCATCTCAACCCACATCAAGGCAAAGCTGAGGGTTTGCGACCGGCCAGCCACCACTGGCCACGCCTACCGGTACCGTCATCGGAGGGGCCGGGGCCGGGTCCTTGCCCGGAGACGGTGTGGACGTCGTGCGGCTGCCAGAACGTGCCCCTGAATTACACAGTGCTGATCAATCTCTGCTAGGCTCCTCCGTGTTCAAATACCACCCGGTCCCCAGGTACCTTGTAAATCACTCTAATTAGGGGCTGTTCACTTAAAATTAGAGAGCAATTTTTTAAGAAGCAAATTGCCCAGTAAGACGTGTTGGCTGTGGCTGGAAATACTTATGGGCTGATGGCTGGTCTTTGCCTCCTCTGCCCCAGCGTCTGGGAGCGACAGGCTGCGGTGTGGCTGGTGGGCGCCATAATGACGCCTGCACTGCCCACCGGCTGGCCGTCAGGCGCTCCGGCGGCCCAGACCTCAGCCAGGCCTCGCCTCGGGGCCTCCTTCTCCCTCCGACGGCAGAGCCAGGCCTCCCTCGAAGGGTTCGGCCCAGACCTCAGTCAGCAGGTCTGCCTGCCGCGGCGTGCATCGTGGAGAGGGGCCAGTGCAGGGGCGCCGGGGGCATCGCGGGCAGGGGGGCTCTGCCGCTGCAGGTCGGCGTAAGAGAAGTGTGCAGTGCTTACACAATGCCTGGCTCCAAGGGGGCTTATTAAATGCATCTGGCCGCCCCTCAAGCCTGCGGCATCCCAGCCGGCAGGTGCTTTGTGACACTCCTCTCGTGAGATGCCCTGAGTAGGGAACTGCCCCCCGAAAGCAGAGACAAGAGCTCCCCATCGGCGGTCCCCTCCCGAGCCCCCCAATTGCAGGGGGTGGTGAGGTTTGCATGCATAAGCATGAGGGGATGCCCACCAAGTGCAAGATCACCTTTTGCGAGAGCACTGAAGACAATCCTCTAAGTGAAGAAACAGGAGGAATCCAGAGATTAACCCACCGCAAGGTGTGGGTCCTCAAGTCCTGATCTGAACAGACGAGACGTGCACAATGCAGCAGAATTATAAAACAGGGAGCGGAAATGCTACTCTCTCCGGACACGGGGAGCTGAGTCTCGTTTCTGCCAGACGGTAGCATTGCACCTCGTCATGACAAGGGTCCATCACCTCCTGGAGAAACGCAAGACGGCCTGGAGCATCTCGGGTCTGAAAACGGATGGCGGCACACATCACAGTGACTCAGGAACCGCAGAGAGACACGGGAGGTCATGCGGCACACTTCCATGACCTGTGGGTCGAGTGAGATGAAACGCGCTTGCGGGGTGCACCGGGCAGAGCCACGGGGGACAGGGAGCGCTGGGTGCCCTGCTAGAGAGGAGGGGTGGCCCTGCCAAGCGTTGAGGCTCTACCTTGAGAGACCAGAGAAGCAAGGGAAGGGTCCAGATCAAGGGGAATAAACAGAAATGAAAACAGGAGAGACAATTACTGAAACGAGAGGCTTCCTGGTCCTTTGAAAAGCAGCAAAAAAAAACCAACCAACCAACCAACCAAACAACCTGACAGAGATAGGAAAAGACACAAGTTGCCAATATCAGAAATGAGATCCTGGAGCTGTTACAAAAATAATAAGAAAACACTACAAAAAAAGTTTATGCCCAT